CCGACTATCCCCACTGTCCCCCCTGTCCCACCGACTCCGCCGCTGTCCCACTGAGCTGTCCCACTGTTCCCACCACTGTCCCCACTGTCCCCACCACTGTCCCCACTGTACCTCTGTCCCATTGTCCCACCGCCGTCCTCGCCACCGCCTTCACCACTGTCCCCACCACCATTGTACCCTCCACTGTCCCATTGTTTCCACCTCATTCCCACTGTGCCCACACCACTGTCACCACCACCACCGTCCCCACCACTGTCCACTGTCCCCCCTGTTCCCACCATTGTCCCCACCACTGTCCCCACCACTACCGGCCCTCTACTGTCCCACTGTCCCACTGTCCCCACCACTGTCCCGCTGTCCCCTCACCACTGTCCCACCAACACCGTCCCCACCTCTGTCCGCACCCCCACTGGGTTTTCGAGGGGGGGGGGGGTTCGAACCGGTAGTGACCCCCCCCCCTTTTCATGATGAGCTGGGGGGGGGGGGGAGGGGTTCGAACCGGTAGTGACCCCCCCCTGTTTTCCGGAGGGGGGGGGGGAGGGGTTCGAACCGGTAGTGACCCCCCCCGGTTTTCCGCCAGCAGCGGTAGAACACGCTCTTTCTGATCTTAGCGGCTCCAGCATTGTTTCCGACCAGGCCCGGCTTAATCCGACCTGTGGTGTAACGTGCCCAAGGTTCGTCACACACGCGTGGGTACGAGACAAGCATTGGCCAGAGATGTTGAGGGAGCTCCAGGAAAGGGCACTACACCATCGTTTTGTGAGTCGCTGCGAGCAGTCGCAGAACTTGCCGACGGAGAATTCGAGGGCGCGAGAGAAGGTCGACGGACACGTTTTTCGGGCCAGGAGGACGCAGCCCGCGTCGCGATTGGGGGGCCGGGTGGCCCCACCCCGCCGAGCACCGTGCGGCTTTGCAATCGGGGGCCTATCGCCGATCGATCGGCGATTCCAGGTCGGTGTTCCCCTCCGCCCCCTCTCTGAGTTGCCCTCCCCCCTCCTGCTCTCATGCTGCCCTTCACATCTCGGCGGCGAGCGAGTGGGGGAAATGAAAAGGGGCGGGCCTTCTCAGAAGGCTCGGAAGCCTCCAGCCCTTCTGAGAAGTTTCTAAGCCTTTCCCGAAACACACACACACAAAGCACCTCTCAGGGGGCGCGAGGGCTTCGGAGAGGTCCCGCCGCCTTCTCAGAAGGCCTTCTCCTTCTCATTCCCGCCCCATCGCCCGCCGCCAAAAATCTGAGTCTGGAATCCATCCTGCCCTCTCTCCAGGTGGGCGCCGCGGTTGATGGCGCCGGCCCGCGAGTAGGGCCCCTCCACGGCCCCGGCCTCCCGCCCCGTCCTTGAGGGAGGAGAGGAGGTGGGGAGGTCCCCGCTGCATGCCTGCGAGAGAGACTGCGAGAGAGCGAGAGAGCCAGAGAGCGAGAGAGGAGGAGGAGGAGGAGGAGGATGGGAGGAGAGGAGGCGGAGGAGGAGGAGGAGGAGAGGAGGAGGAGGAGAGGAGGGGAGGAGGAGGAGGAGGAGGAGGAGGAGTAGGAGGAGGAGAGGAGGAGGAGGAGGAGGAGGAGGAGGAGGAGAGGAGGAGGAGGAGGAGGCGGAGGAGGAGGATAGGAGGAGGAGGAGGAGGAGGAGGAGGAGGAGTGAGGAGGAAGGGGAGGAGGAGGAGGGGAAGGAGGAGGAGGAGGAGGGGGAGGGTGGGGGAGGAGGAGGGAGGAGGGAAGGAGGAGAAGGAGGAAACAGCGAGCGAGAGAGAGAGAGAGGGAGGGAGGGAGAGGAATCACATACGGCACGAACGCAAGCTTTTGGAGCTCCGCGCGGGTTCCCTGGAGCGGCTCCGGGCCCAGCGGGCGGCGCCTCCGGCGGCGGCCCCTGGCACGCTCCGCAGGCCACCGGGAGGAGGGGGTCCAGCGCCGATCCACGAAGTCCGCGCGGAGCTCCAAAAATGCCGTAGGTTCTTCCTCTCCCTCCCTCTCTCTCTCTCTCGCTCTGTCCTCCTCCTCCTCCTCCTCCTCCTCCACCTTGTTCTCCTCCTACTCGTCCTCCTCGTCCTCCTCGTCCTCCTCCCCTCCTCCTCCTTCCCCTCGTCCTTCTCCTCCTTTTCCTCCTCCTCCAGTTTTTTACATTATGCCGTTGTCGGTTCCTCCAGGGGGGGAGGCGGGCCCTGCGCCTTGCCCTCCTCTCGGTGGCGAGCTCCGGGGGTGGGGAAGTGGGAGGGGGTATAGGCCTTCTCAGGAGGCGGCGGGGCCTCCCAGAAGCCCCTGCGCCCCCGAGAAGCCCCCTGTTTGGATTGTGAGAAGGTTGCGTCGGGCGTGTCCCTCTACAGGAGGAACATTCTCAAGGAGTTTTAAAAGATAGTCTGGACTGATTAAGTGTCCGTTCTGGAGTATTGTGTGACTATTTACAAGTTGTTCGGTGATTTTTTGTTCTCCTGCGAAATCCGCGTGTATGAGGACATGCCCGACCTGGGGATAGAGGCGCGAGGGCTTCCGAGAAGCCCCATGCGCCTTCTGAGAGGGCCTGCCCCCCTCTCTCACCTCCCCCCCTTGGGCTCGCAGACCGAGCGCCGGAGAGAGAGAGAGAGAGTGAGAGAGAGAGCGAGGCAGAACAACAGGGAGAGAGAGAGAGAGAGAGAGGAGAGAGAGAGAGAGAGGAGAGAGAGAGAGAGAGAGAGGAGAGAGAGAGAGAGAGAGAGGAGAGACAGAGACAAGGAGAGAGAGAGAGAGAGAGAAAGTCAGAGAGAGAGAGAGAGGAGGGGGAAGGAGGCCCTCCTCTCTTCTTCCCTCCTCCCACACGCTCGGGGATTGCGCAGGCATGGATCTGGGCGCGCGGGTTGGCGGCGGGTTCCGTTTCACGCAGCGTCGGCGCGGTCCCTCGCAAAACCGGACGGCATCGGATTCATTTTTCGAGGGCTATTTTCCCCGATTCGTGGATCTGGTGCCCACGCGCCAGATCCAAGAGCGCTTCCTCCTCCTCCTCCTCCTCCTCCTCCTCCTCCTCCTCCTCCTCCTCCTCCTCCTCCTCCTCCTCCTCCTCCTCCTCCTCCCCCACCTCGGGAGTTCCCAGGGGGGTGGGGGATCCGGGACCCTTCCCGTTTCTCCCCTTTTCCCTCCCTCTCCTTAGTTGCTCGCTTTGGGGACCTTCCTGGGGCCCACCTCAGGGATCTGTTCGGCTCTAGTTCGACTCCAGTTCGATTCCAGTTCGACTCAAGCTCGATTCAGGTTCAACTCGGGTTCGACTCAGGGTCGGCTCAAGCCGACGGACGCCCGACGCGGCATCCGACGCACGAGCGGGGCGAGTGTCTCCAGGAAGGCCCCCAGAACGAGCACCCAACTCTCCGCGCGCAGGGCCCGAGGAGTCCCCCCCCCCACCTTAGGTCCTCCTCCTCCTGCTCCTGCTCCTCCTCCTCCTCCTCCTCCTCCTCCTCCCCCTTCCTCCTGCTCCTCCTCCTCTTCCTCCTCGCGATTCGCTTCTCTTTTTAGTAACCCCGGCACGGGGGATCAGTGGCAGCGGCGTCTGCCTCAAAAAGTGACAAAAAACATAAAAACTCTGAGGTCCGCGCGGATTTCTCGGATCGGCGCTGGGCCCCCCTGGCGGCGCTTCCGGCGCCGCCCCTGGCGCGCTCCTCCCGCCAGGAAGGGGGGTCCAGCGCCGATCCGAGAAATCCGCGCGGACCTTCGAGTTTTGTATGTTTATGTCACTGTTTGCTCCCCTACACCTCGAGCGCCCCCCCCCGCCCCCCTCGGCAGGCCCCCCTCCTCGGGGGGCCTCTCCGAGGAGGAGTGCCCCCCCGCCCCCCCACCTCGGGAGCCGGCGGGGGGGCTCCTCTACCCGCTTCTTCTGTGGAGGACGACCAGTGGAGAGGAACCATGGTGCCACATAATTTCCAGATGCCTAAACATGTGGGGGAGCGGGAAGGGCAGGGGAGAGAAGGACGGGGACGAGGACGAGGACGAGCAGAACGACAGACCAGCGCATGCACACCTGGGCAAAAAAGCTTGCGCACAGGACGCAGCGGAAAGAAGATGTGTGGGTGGAGACTGAGATCGAGGGCCAGCCATCCGTGCCCCATGGTCACACATGTTTTAAGCATGTTCCAAGCATGCTAAACAAATGCTCAAGACATGTTTACAACTTTGCTTCTACATGCTAAACACACCTCAAATTCAGTGATACTGTCGGGGCCCTGAAGAAGGAACCCTTCTTTGTTGGGGAGGGGCTCCGTGTTCCTTAGTTGCTTTACAGTGCTCCGTGGGTTTTCCGGAGGTTTTCCATGAGAAATCTGAGTTTACTATATGGGAAGAAGGGGCCCCGTTCCTTATGTATTTTTCCTTAGGTCAACGCCCCGACTGTAGGACTGTCAGGGTCTCCGTTGTGGTGGCATCCACAGCCCGTGCCCTCCCTCCCAAGTCGTGCAGGGCCGCGCGCTTCCCGCGGCGGGGGGCGCCTTCCGAACGCGCCTCGGCCCCGGCGGCGGGGCCACGCCCGCGCGGCGGCCCGCGTGCCCGCGGCGGCCCGCGGCCGCCCGAACGAGGCGCGGCGCGGAAAGCGCGGCGGCTGGCGCGCGCGCGCGCGGCTCTGCCGCGGCCGCGCGCGGCGCCCGCGGCGCCCGCGGGGCCCGCGGGGCGGCGGCCGCCAGCGTTGCAGTTCAGGCGGGCCTGTCCCCCTGGCAGGGGGATGTTCGACGAGAAATGAAAAGATCCTCCAAGAATAGTCCAGAAATAATCCGAAGATCGTCTGGGGAGTCTTTTGTTTTGTGTTACCTTTTTGGGGTATGTTTGGGGTATTTCTTATTTTTCGCTGAAAATCCCCCTGTAGGAGGACAGGCCCGACTTAACGTCACAGTTGGGGCGCGCATCAAGAAGCCATGTGCTGCTCGTCAGGGTATCCCTTGGCACCGCTCGGACGTGTGCATTTTTCCTTCGGCGAGGACCATCGAGGAGCATCCTTGATGATTTGACGAAGAAGCCGCGCACGACACCGGAAAAAACACAGGGTATGGACGTCAGAGCGATGCCCAGATCCTGGGTTTCTTCGCTCCGCCCGCTGCGCGGTGACTTCCCGCAGCCGTGGAAGAAGCTGCTGCGTTGAGGACGCTCCTGGATTTTCCCCTCAGGCGCGCCTCGCGCGCGGGTTTTCAGGGTTGGGTTTCCTACGGCCGCGCCCTCATTGTACGTCGGGCATTTGCCTCTACAGGAGGAGTATGCAAGAACAGCTCAACACAGTCAGGCGACGATATTTCGTGCTTCTTTTTTATTATTCGTATTTGTGGATACAGGACAGGTGTGCTATTGTTGGATTACCTTGTTCTTTCACAGTCTGCCTGCAGGAGGACATGCCCAGACCTGACGCCAGCTGTCGCGTTCCCGGCCATCCCCGCGTCGTGAACAGGAGCGGGCAATACTTCTTTCCATAGCCACTGCAGCTTGGAGTTTCGGGCTCCCTTGCCCAGAATCCTGGGGCGCACCGGATGCGGGTACTGATGTGGCCCCTGCAGGCGGCTCGGTTTCTGTCCAGATCCAGTGCGCCTCGGCCTTGCGGCGCCCCTTCCAAGAAAGTCCAAGACCTCATGGATATGGATATACATTTTGCCCGCAACGGAATCGCGAGGGTAAGTCTTCGGCTGTTTACTGCTTCCCGGGTCGGGGGGATAGCTTGGTCTTCGGGAAAGGGGAGTTGGTCAGCGATTGGGCCCCGAAGCTCCAAACAGGAGCCGCAACCACTGAACCAGGTCTGCCGTAGTTGGTGCTTTTTCGGGTGGCGGCAGTCCCAGTCTAGTGGCGTGGGGCGGGGGGGGGGCCTCCTGGCACACATGGCGGCACGCCCGGTCCTGCCAACGCTCGGCCGAGGCCCTCACCAGGGCCCCCGGATAGTCCGAGCACGACTCCGGACGAAGAGCTGTGGGCGCGAGAGAAGGAGGAGGAGGAGGAGGAGGAGGAGGAGGAGGAGGAGGAGGGAGGAGGAGGAGGAGGAGGAGGAGGAGGAGAGGAGGAGGAGGAGGAGGAGGAGGAGGGGAGGACGGAGGAGGAGGAGGAGGAGGAGGAGGAGGCGGGGGAAGTAGGGAGGTGACGGGAAGGAGGAGGTGGTGGAGGAGGAGGAGGAGGAGGAGGAGGACCGCGCTCGACGCCGAACATCTCTGGCTTCGTCGGCGCGCCGGGCTCGCCGTCGCGCCGGCGTCGTCGCCGGCGGCGGCCCGCGCCGGGCCGTGGCCTCCCGGCGCGTGGCCGCGCGCGGCCCGGCGTGTCTCTGCTTGCACTGGGCTGCGTGCTGGTACGGGGCCTTGAATTCGACCTTGGGGTCAATAATCGGGTC